TTTTGGTTCAGATCTGGTTCAGTTTATGGTTCAAGATTGATCCTTGAAAATATGATTTTCTAGATAGGGAATACGATTCCCAGTTGAAGGGAGAGAAAAATTTTTGAAATTCGCCCCTTATTCCGCAATCTTTGGGCGTCCATAGGATGGATCTCTCATCCCTTCATGGAGGGCCTCGACCTCAGGAAGGAGCCAGCGAGCTGAGTCTAGCCGGCCGAGGACCTCGTCTTGGTTCTCCTAGACGAGGCAGACCCTAAGAAAATAGTCCGCGTCGGGTCCAACCTTCCCCCTGAACACCTATCCGAACTGGTAAATTTCCTTAGAACTAATGCCGACGTCTTTGCTTGGTCCGCTGCTGATATGCCCAGAATTTACCCTTCGGTCATTACTCATAGGCTGAGCATGGACCCGAGCCCTTGTCCATTTCGGCAAAATAAGAGGAACTTTGCACCGGAGCGATAGAAGGCTATAGGAAGGAAGTTGACAAGCTACTCGACGCCGACTTCATCCGAGAGGTACACTACCCTAACTGGTTGTCAAATGTGGTTTTGGTGAAGAAAGCTAACGGGAAATGACGGATCTATATTGACTTCACAGACCTTAACCGAGCCTACCCGAAGGACAGTTTTCCTTTATCGAGGATAGACCACCTCGTCGATGCCTCTGCAGGGTACGAGCTACTCAACTTCATGGATGCCTTCTCCGGATACAACCAAATAAAGATGCACCCCGAGGACGAGGAGAAGACCTCGTTCATCACCAAGCATAACGTATACTAATACAAAGTGATGCCGTTCGGCCTCAAGAATGTAGGGCCCACCTACCAACGCCTTGTCAACAAGGTGTTCAAGAACAAGATGGGGAGGAATGTGGAAGCATAAGTAGATGACATGCTAGTGAAGAGCCTAAAAGTCAAAGCACACACCTTGGACCTAGCCGAGACCTTTGACACTTTCTGCAGGTTCAACATGAAGCTTAACCCAAGCAAGTGTGCCTTTGGCGTCACCTCGGGCAAATTCTTGGGCTTCGTCGTCACCCAAAGAGGCACTAAAGCCAACCCAGACAAGATACATGCCATACTAGACATGGCACCCCCTCGGTCGGTGAAGGAGACTCAGAGGCTCACCGGCATAATAGCTGCTCTCAAACGCTTCATGTCGAAGTCGGCCGATCGTTGCTTTCCCTTCTTCCACACCATCAAGAAGATGAAAGATTTCCAGTGGACGGAGGAAACCCTGTACTTATACTTATCAGAGGGGGACGAGGTTGTCAGCTCGATCTTGGTAATAGATGATGGAGTCTAGAGACCTATATACTATGTCAACAAGGTATTCTGAGATGCCGAGACCAAGTACCCCGAAGTGGAGAAGTTAGCCTTTGCCCTTGTTATCTCGGCCAGAAAGGCTGTCCTTGCTGGTTCTGACAAACCAGCCCCTTTAGGCCGTCCTTGCCAAGCCTGAGACCTCGGGACGCCTGCTCAAGTGGACAATCGAACTGTCTGAGTTCAACATCCAGTACCAACTGAGGCCCATAATTAAAGCGCAAGTCTTAGGTGATTTTGTAACACAGTGCACCTTCAGTAGACCCCGCGGCCAACCCCTTGAAGATGAACCAAAAGAGGTGCACTTGGCCGAGGAAGCCCATCCAACATGGAGACTCTTTGTTGATGGTTCGTACAATGCCAAAGGAAGCAGAGCGGGCCTCATCCTCACCCCCGACGATGCCGTCATAGAATATGCGCTGAGATTCGACTTCCCAGCATCCAACAATGAAGCCGAGTACGAGGCCCTCCTTGTGCGGTTACAGCTCGCCAGGGACCTTGGCTCCAAGCATATCGAAGTCTTCAGCGATTCGCAACTAGTGGTGAATCATGTCAACGGTGAGTACGAGGCCAGAGAACAAAGCATTGCCAAGTACCTCGCCAAAGTTTAAGAGCTAGCCCGCCACTTCTAGCGCTTCTCCCTGCAATAAGTCTCGCGGGCCAAGAATGCAAGAGTCGACGCCCTCTCTAAGCTGGCAAGTACCTCAGACGCAGCCCTCGACCGCACTGTCCACATGGAGAAGCTACCTCGGCCCTCTATAGAAGAAGCCCAAGTACTCCCGCTAGAGGCCGAACCATCTTGGATGGAACCCATCATCGACTTCCTACTAATAGGACAACTACCCGACGACAGGAACGAAGCTAGATGACTCCAACGTCAGGCACCACACTACACCTTGCTGGAGGGAAAGTTGTATAAGAGATTCTTCACCTTGCCTTACCTCCGATGCCTCCATCAGGAGGAGGGCGAATACGTGCTCTGAGAAATTCACGAAGGCATCTGCGGTAACCACCTTGGCGGCCGAGCCTTAGCCCAAAAAACACTAAGGCATGGGTACTTTTGGCCAACTCTTCACAAGGATGTAGCCGAGCTGGTACGAAGGTGCGATCAATGTCAGAGACATGCTAACCTCTGCCATCAACCAACCATAACCCTCTTGGCTCTCAGTAGTCCCTGGCCCTTCGTCAAGTGAGGAATGGACCTCCTCAGCCCCTTTCCTCAAGCAACAGGGGGCAGGAAATACCTTGTTGTCGCTATGGACTACTTCACTAAGTGGATAGAGGCCGAACCCTTAACCACCATTACAACTCGAGCAATCTAGAGCTTCTTTTGGAAAAACATCATTTGCCGCTTCGGCCTCCCCCACATGCTGGTCACCGACAACGGGAAGCAATTCAACGATGCTAAGTTCTGAGAATTGTGCACTTCCCTCGGCATCAAACAACAGTACACCTCGGTGAGCTACCCCCAGACGAACAGCCTAGCCGAGGTCACAAATAGAACCATCCGGGACGGACTGAAGACCAGGTTGGACCAAGCCAAAGGCTTGTAGGTTGATGAACTACACAACGTTCTCTGGGCATACTGAACCACACCTCAGACGGCCGAGAGAGACCCCATTCAGCTTAACCTACGGTGCGGAAGCAGTAATTCCAATAGAGATAAGCCAACCAACACTTCGAATCAAAATGTACAATGAGGCCGAGAACAGTTAAGCACTTAGAACAAACTTAAACCTGCTGGAAGAGGCCCGAGAGCAAGTGCAAATTAGGGTGGCTGCCTACTAGCAACGAGTGGCCCGCTACTACAACTCCAAGGTAAAAGAAAGGCATTACCAAGAGGGAAGGTCATGGTCCCCAAACCTGGAGTAGGATTGTTGGGCCCCAACTGGGATGGTCCCTACAGGATCAAGCAAGCCATCGGCCATGGCACCTTTCATTTGGAAAATTTAGACGGAAGACCCATCCCCCAGATGTGGAACTCGGAGAACCTCTGAATGTACTACAGATGAATGTAATTTTTTGATGAAGTAATGAATGAATGAAGCAAAGTTCCTCTTCGGCTCAAAGCTTAGCATGTGTTCTCACTAAGTCTCTAAGACCCCTCGACTTCGTGACTGGCCAAGGCACATAGACTCTCTCGAGGACCTTATGCTCGAGCCAGACCGTCGCCAGGGCATACTGCTAATAGTGAACACCCTAACACCCGCCAAATTACCCAGGATGGCTGAGGCCTCGCAAGCCTCATGGCCTGCCTCGGTGGCCGATGGCCCTTTGGCCTTATACACTTAACGCGATTAACTAAAGGCAGCAACTCGACAAACGTGGCAGTTCGCCTTGGACCGAGACCCCGACCTCCTCAAAGCGTCACCTCGGCTTCGTCAAACTAACCACACAGAGAGGAACCAGGAAGGCTTCGGCCCTGCCTCGGCCCCTCCCATAGTTCAACAAGCCATCTCGGCTTTGCCTAAACAACCACGGGAGGAAGGGAGCCAAGTGAGCTTCGGCTCTTCCTCAGCCTCTTCCCCACATTTCAGTAGGTCACCTTGGCCTTGCCTAAGTGGACACCTAGGAGGAACTAGGCTAGGTAAGTTGCACTTTAGTCGCACAACTCTACCTTGGCCTCTCCCTCCTAACAACCTAAGGCGTGTGTGTAACGAGCCAATACGAGCTATTTTTTGTGTGTGCACTGTTGTCTCGTCGTTGGGAGGGGCAGGGACCCCTCGGCAAAAAAAAAAAAGAAAGGAAGAAAGGGAGAACACATTGCATAGAACAAAAGGAGCACAATGTACAAAAAGAATGCTTGATTTGTCATTAAACGTCATCAAATGTTGAGCCTTTACAAAAACGTTTTGCAGCCTCTTAGTCCGAGCACATTTACATCAAGCAACAAAAAAAAGAGAAAGAAAAGGGAAGAGAACCCCACTAGGCCTTATCGTCATCCGGGGAAGGGCAAAGTTCACGGCACCATCAGCAACCTGGGCGACCTCGGTAGCCTCCTTGGGAGAGTCCAGAATCACCTTCACTGTCTCAACGTCAAAATCCGACATCATCTCCTTGAGGACTTTCTTGGTGTCCTCGGTCCCGTCATCCAGGTACAATCCAGATGCATAGTCGGCAAGGTCCTCTGCCCATTTCTCCGCCTCCTCAGCTTTCTTCGTTGCTTCGGCTGCCTGCTTCATTGCCTTAACATTCTTCCCTTCAGCCTCTGCCACCTTCTTCTCATCTTCGTCTACCCACTTCAATGCCTCAACAGTCTTCCCTTCAACTTCAGTTACCCATTTTGCCGCTTCGGCTACCTTTCTCTCTGCCTCGGCCGCTCGCTTCTCAGCCTCAATAGTGCACCCCTCGGAGTGGGCCATTTGCCGCTGGGCCTCAGAGGTTATGCTCTCAAGGCGAACCCTCTCCTCTTGCTCCTTGGAGAGGTTCTTTTGCGCCTCCTTCAACTTCCCCTCGAAACACTCCCAAACCGTCTGCTCGTCCTTGAAGCCCTTCCTGAACTTCTGGCACTTCTCCTAGGCAACAACGACGGCCTTTTGGAGCTTCTCCTTCTCCTTCTCGAGCCAGTCCAAGCGAGCCAAGTTGAGGCTCATCCGGTCCCCCAAATTGATGAAGTGGAGACAGGCCTGCAATGAGAACCATCAACAAAAGCTACAACAAAGAAAGAACAAAAGAACGTGGTGATGAATGCAAAAAGCTTACCTCGACCAAGTGGTGCAACCCCTGGTCGTAGATGGCTCGCGGTGACCTCTGCATCATCCGGAAGTGATCCCTCGAGAGAAACGCCCCGCTCACCAAGGCCTAGTTGACCCCTTCCTCGGGGATAGAATCCCCCTCGCGAACCGACCACCGGGGGCGGAAGACCTTGGAAGAGCGCTCGGCCCCCTCGGTGAGCTCTTGTGCAGATGTGGGGGCAGAGGAGGGCCCTGTGTGGTGTTCCTTAGTGGGAGGCCCCTTCATCATGACGTCCTTAGTAGGACACTCGTTGTGGGCCACCTTCGGCGGCTGCTCTCTCAAGGCCTCTTTGGCAGGCCTCTTCTTACCCGCCTTGACCCCCTTGGCAGGCTTCTTTGCGGCCTTGGCAGGTTTCTAGGCCTCCTCGGATGGCCCCTTCCTCTTGGCAGGGACCTTCAAAGTTGTCCCCTTTGTAGGGACCGGTGGGTTTGTCCCCTTAGCAGGGACGTGTATAGTAGTCCCCTTGGTAGGGACTTATGGGGCTGCCCTCTTGGCGGGGACCTGCTGTGAAGCTACACCCTTGGCGGGGGCAGGCGCCCGCTCGTTCCTCTTCAGTGTCTGGGAGCCCGCCTTTTAGTTCGCTCGTTCCTTCTTCTTTGCATGAGCATGCTCTGTCAGGATTTTCTTGGCATCCATCGGCACCTTTGCAAGCAAAAGAAAACGGATCGATATCGCAGGACGAGGGAAACGTGTTAAGGAACTGTAGGGCCTCTCCTACCGAGGGGGGCAGGGCTGAGCCCCGCGAACACTAATGGAACCTCCTCCACCAATGGCTTGGCTTGGATTGTCCCCATCACGAGTAGGTGGGCTACGACAGCGGCCTCCTCATCCCGAAGCGGAGGGGGACACCTCTCGACTACTACGCAGACCTCTCCCCAGCTCGACCTGAACCTCCAGCCTTTGCGAAAAGAGACATAGAAAAACTTGTCCTTCTAGCCGTGGACAGACGAAGGGTTGTACACAGGTCTTCCCCTCCAAGGATGGAAGTAATACATGCTAGCCTCGGAAGCATTCTTCCTCGGCATGAATATGGCACAAAACTTCTTTGAGGTTAACTCTACATCCTGAAGCCAAGCCCACACCAGCATGGCTATCATGGTCCTAAGGGCATTGGGGACAAGCTGGCTGATAGTGATTTCATACCACTCCAAAAACTTAGAGATTAGAGGAGGAAGGGGAAACCTAAGGCCAGACTCCCAAAAAATGCTGGTATATGCAGATTTCCCCTTCGTCGGGGGTCCACGGCCACTCACCGACCCCAAGAACCCTAAGTGTGTATAACTGAGGTATGTGGAACCCCCTGGCAAAAGACTTGACCTGGTCCACCTCTAAGGAGCTATCGAACTCCAAGCGTGGGAGGTCAGCTACGGCCACCCTTCGGGCAACGCTCCCAGCCACGGGTCCCAGGACGGTCTTCGGGACCCCCTCACCCTCAGCCTGAGGGGACCCCTCGGGCTCCCTCGGCGATACTGATGCGGCACTCTCATGGAGAGAGTCATCGCCTCAGTCACTTCCCTCGGCACCCCTGGAGGCTACTCTTTCCTTCAGCACCATCACCTCCTGCTGAAAAGGAGCAACGGCCAGGGGACCCAAGGAAGAGAGAGGGGAAGGGGTCCGAGGAAATCTCCCCTCCGAACTGTTTGAAAGTTCGTAGCACTCAGGACCAGAGTTTGAGAAAGACATGTTGTAAGAAATTACCTAAAAGTTGGAGAGAAGAAAGGGGGAGGATGAAGTTTATTGAAGAATTGAAGGTCTGGGAGCTATTCACTTGATAACCAAGGCGCCTAGTGACAAATGACAGGAGAACCGCGACTAAACCCTTTATTTATAGGAGAACGAACAGCTCAGATCTTGCCTAATCCAACAGCTGCAAGTC